TTTCTTTTTTCTCACAATGAAGGAGGTGTATTTTTAAAATGTGAAAAAAGCCTTTAGAAGAAAACCTCTAATTGTATTGGTGAATACCGATTTAACACAGAAAGTCTTTGGTGTAATAGATTTCACTTGTACTGCAAGCTAATTAACTATGAAAGACACTTCCCATAAGTAGAATGGTCGTTCAGATGGCATGATCTGCTCTTTAGCCAGCACCAAATTACCAAATAGTTAAAGTATGTGCCCAGGGCATTGACAAAGAAAAGGAGACACCAAAAAATGAGAATATTTTGGAGAAAAGTACATGATTTTTGATATTTTAGAAAAGTGTAAAAGTAGTTGTTGGAAATATCAGAAAGTTGTTGGACTGATGTACAAATACATGATTTAATATCATTTTTCTTTTTAAGAACATGTAGGTGGAATGGAGAGAGTCTTAGGACATACAGGCAGGAGGTATGGCTACATTTTTTCAAGGTCCAGGATCCGTAGGAATCTTAATTTGGTCTAAGGCACAGAAAAAAATTATGTTACCTCCTAACCTGTATGTCATTAAAGATAAAAACAATACTTAGTTATAAAGTAAGTGCATATCGGTTCAACAGAGTTCCAGTATACTTCTATGCTTTTCTGAAATATCAGGAATCACAAATTTTCTCCAAAGTAATTTTTGCTTGCACCATTATTTTGTGCTGATACCCTAAGCATACAGTCTATTTGACAATTCGATATGACCAAAGAGCAAATCATGGCGCCTGAAATATTCAAATAAAAATCCAAATAAAAACGAGCCATATTTAATGCAGATTTACTATATTTGATGTTTGATGAAAAATTCAAACTGTCATGAGAATTTGTTAAATTTTCTAATATGGCAGATTTGGGCTCATGAGATTCAGAATCCAGGCTCAATTAAATCATTTACCAAACCCAAACCTGCCCAAGTCTAACCTCTCTGAATCTGTTCGTCCTTATTTAAAATAATTACATTGACACTAGCTTTACTGGCATGATAGAATTTGGGGGAATATAAGTAAAAAATAAAGAATGTAAAATGAGAACTAAAAAATATTATATTAATATAAGATGTAATGATAAATAAAAGATGCATTGCTTTTGTCATTAACTCTTTCACACGTGTGCATCTTATATCACTCAAAGAGATTCTGTTACTAGTATATGCAAATTGTGATAGTCATATAAGAACTCCATAAATAGTTGTTTTTCAATTGATTAAGTCATCTCGTTTGAAAACATATTTCTACTTGGGAGAATAATAGTTGGGATGAGCAAAGGGGGAATTGTGACTGACCCCTCAGAATAAAACTCAAGTATAACTCTAGTTTATTTATTTCAGTAAAAACTGAATGTTGAGTTATTTATGTTGAAACTTTCCTGATAAATTTGGTTTTCTTTTAGGCGCCAACCATAAAAAGGAAGCATTAATCTTTTTTACAAACCTATGAGAAATGCAGAAAACAGTCTTGACTCTCCAGAAACTTTTTAAATCACCCTGATGGAGGTGTGAAGCATGCTTGGAGAACCGAAATGTGTTCTGGGGTCACGTGAAGAAATAGGAACATCCTATCACAGAGTGAAAAATTAAATAATGTGTGTGTTACTCTAATTAAAACAAGTTTTACTAAAATTTAAATACCAGTCAAAGTATTTACTATCTCAACAAAAATGGCATTTTCAACATAGTGTTTGAGAAAAAATATAATTAACTAAACTAATTTGTTGTTAAAACAGTGCACTTAAATAATACTTTTGGATGTATCTTTCATATATTTTATTTTTTCTGACATCAACTTGATGGCTCTTGAATTATTTTGTATCTAGACCCTTTTAAACCCCATTTCATTTTTCCAAGTTAGCCACACAAAAGGGAATAATTTTAATATAGCTATTAGGCGTCACATTTCATAGAGCTGCTGCTGAGAAAGGACTCTTATGAAGAGGCCAACATCCAGTTCCCTGCATCCTGACAAAATGACAAATTTCTTCAAAAAGATGGGCACTTGATTTCTTTAAAAATATCCAGATTCTGTGATTTAGAAGCCCATTCATTACAAAACGAAGTCTTACTGTTACAGGTCTGGAAGTCCCTGATATTAAACAACTAAATTACACTCTTAAATGGAAAGTTTACTCTAGAAAAAGCCAGAGTTTTTGAGAAAGAATCTAGTTCATCCCAAATATCTCTATGTCTAGATTATACTTTTGGAGGTTTTGATAAAAGATGCAATGCCTTATCTGGTTACTCAGCTGACAACCCATATCTACTATCAGGAAATTTTACATTTTGTATTATAATCTTCGTTCTTCCTAATGCAGTTGAATCCCATCGATTATATTTTAGGTTCCAAAAAATAGCAAGAAGTAATGTCCTTTGTTAAAACCCTCAGCTCTTCTGAAACAAATGATTGTCATCTCTGTTTCCTCTAGCGAAGTGATCCTACTTTCTTTATCCTTTCTTAAAGAGTTCAACTTGTAGTCCTTTAAACATACTTCACTTTTCTGTGGCTCCTCAGCAAAGGCCATTTAATCATCTCAAGTTGTGGGACTGAAAACTAGACCTGTATTTCTATCAGGGGTCTGATGGGTCTGACCACATGGCTGAAACATCAACCATCAGGTCTATGTCCTGTGGCCTACAGTGATTTGCTTCTGCTCAAATTGTATCAACTTCACCTATAAAACCACATCTCAATGAACACTCAACACAAAGGAAATAAAACAAAACCCCAAGATATGTTTTCATTGTAGAAACAGGATGAACTATAATGTGTCCTAACTTTTTAAAGCTTACTATAGATATACCTGAAAGTTAATTTTTGGAGATCAAAAGTTATCATTTAAAAATGAACGATGCAGTGTGTTACAAAAATTTCGATATGACATATAAGCCCAGTACCTTGCCCAACTTTATATAGTTGTTATAATTAGGTACATGGTAGCATGGCTTACAGAGTTGTGAATCTATACAATATATGATAATGCCACGAGCATATTAAATCCATTATTCTCATTAAGTTGCTGAAGAGCCTTCTCATATATAAACCAAAGAGGACATTTACTCTCAGAGAAATTAAACTATAAACCTGATTCAAATACAAATAAAAATTTTAAATGAAGGGGGAAGGGTTGGGCTGTGTGTAAAATAAAATGCAAGATTAAAACAAAAAATACTGATATTTTACACTGTAAAAAAAAGGTTTGCACTGACAATGATATTGTTAGAGACGAGCTCGATGGATATAACTAGCCCATATGATGAATGTAGTATTACTAACACACTTTTACTTGTAAGGATTTTTTTGGCTTTAATTCAATGAAATCCACTACCCTGGGTTTAATGGAACTCTGTACCCTACTCATCTCACACATCTTTAGTCTACTGAGCTGCCTTAAAGCCTTGACATAATAAAAGGTCAAGCAGATCCCAGTAAGCATTTGTAAACTACAATAGCTCCCCATTTCGGCTACAAAACATACATTCTTGTGCTAAGCTTTGCTCTCTCCTGTTTCATTGTGTAAGCAGGCTAATTTGGAAATGGCTCAGGTACTTGAGAACACCTAGATTTTTCAAAACAATCCTACTTTCCTACTTCACCATCTGAAGAAGTAAATCCATAATACAACATTTTGGGGAACTCTAAAATGGTGCCTGGATACCGAAGGAATGAACAGCAAATAGCATCACTGTTAAATAAAAAGAATGCATTTCACCCTCCAGCTCATCTGCGCTTTCTGGGACACAAGGCACCAACAAGAAAGGGTTGGGGTAGAATTTCAAGAAATCTGATTTATTTCAACATTCATTTGGCAAGATGATGGACACAAAATAATACCACAAGCCGCCTCCCTCTCCCATCATTGTCAAGTCAAGGCTCTCCAATCACCCCCCACAAACCTAATTAAAAATAAAGAAAAGAGGCAGGCTATGAATTCGCATCCAGGGCTATGATACAGATTAAATGATAGGCATCTGTCCTAATTGGTCACAACAAAACTAAAGGACAATAACCAGAATAAATCTGACATTAATCTAAATGAAGCCAATGAATAATATTATAAACCAGAAGCATGGTTTCAAAAATATGCAATTACCTCCAAGCATACGAGGGGATTTATAACTCATAAAAATGATTGCAAAGAATGCTCTGCATATAAATGTTTCATAATTGCACTATAAATGCTAAGTGACACGTATATATGTGCATATCCATAGGGTATATATACATTTGTATATTCACAATCAAATCTATGCACTAAAATGAAACTATCTGGCTAATGGTTTCTCAACAAGAGTACATTAGAATATGAAATAGAATGCTAAATTCTGGGGCCACTTTTTCTAAGCAATGAACGAAACAAGCAAAATCACCTTATAATTAGGCCAGGAAGCTTCTAAGGCACCAAATGTGATTTTGAGGAAGGCCCAGCCCTACAAGGGAGAGCTGCAAATAAAACGATTCCTTTCAATAACACCCATTTCTTGTTAGCTCTTTTTCCACCCCCCGATTCTGCTGCTAAGCTTAGAAGGAAAGCAACCAGGTGGCTCAGTCTGCATTCTAAGCCAGTTCAAGATAAAATCAGAATACCATTTTTTTTTTTTTTTTAACAAGCGGATGCCTTCTTACTTCTCTCTCTCTTCCTGGCAACCTTCCTCTCTCTCCATCTCCATCCCTGTCTCCACACCTTCCCCCCGATTCTGCTGCTAAGCTTAGAAGGAAAGCAACCAGGTGGCTCAGTCTGCATTCTAAGCCAGTTCAAGATAAAATCAGAATACCATTTTTTTTTTTTTTTAACAAGCGGATGCCTTCTTACTTCTCTCTCTCTTCCTGGCAACCTTCCTCTCTCTCCATCTCCATCCCTGTCTCCACACCTTCCTCTCCTACTCTGAGGGAGTCATTGTTCAAGTGCAGGCCACGAATGTATACACAGGTCATTTAATAGCAAGCTAAACCGAAAAGATAGCACCACAGTCTCCTACTTACCATGCAGAGACCCGGAGAAGCTGTTGAAAGCGGGAAGAGATGCAAACTGAATCCATCTTCCTTGTGACCGAGTGGGATACAGCCTCCGAACCCAACATCAGCAGCGGCTGCTGGGATTTTTTTTTTTCCCTTCGTCTCTGGTTGGCGATGGTGCGAATAGGAACCACCCTTCCAGCCCCACTAGAGTATCAGCAGTCAAGGCGGCAGAAGCAGCAGCATCACCACTTGGCCTCCTCCCTCTCGGAGGATGGGGTGAGCTCAGAAACAGCCAGGAACTTGCAGCAGACACCTCCTCTGGCTCCTCCTCTCCTGCCCCCTCCCCCACAGCCCCACCCCTGCTGCGGTAGAGGCTGCCTGCTCCGGCAGCTGCTGGTTGTCATGGTAATGACCAATGGTAAGCGACAAGACTAAGGGGGAGGGGAGATGGGTGAACCGAGCTGCAAGAGCTGGAGGGGAAGGTATTTGTGCTGCTGGCCTCTGGGATGCTCTTGGTCTCCCCTACCCTGGACTTTGGGTCTTTAAAAACGATTCAAGGGTGTATAGGCACGGAAAAAGGATAATTTAAGTTTCATCGAAATCTAGATTGAAACATACAAAATAGCTTAGCTATTTGTGCATTTTCTATGGTTTCTCCAATGAAATGTATTAAATTTGCAATCAGAAAAAAATAATAGCAAATATGGAGAAAATGATGTTGTCAAATAGAAAGTTATTATCACTCCAAGTATGTTAGTCACTTATAGCATCTTTTACTAAATGCCATTCAAGGTTGTTAAAAAGCAAAGTGAGCGCCTGGACTTATGCAATAAAACAATAGTCTGCTTCCTTGGCACTACTTACTCTCCCTTGTTCTTTTCAGGTGAGTCACCTGTTCTTACTGTTTTTCCAGCTCCTCCTCTGAAGAGGACCAAGAGATATTTGGCACTCCTCTGTGGAAAAGGAAATTGAAACAGAGGAAACAAATTTCTTGAGCAATCACAGTTCTCAAGAACACAACTTGGATAGTTGCAAACTTTTTTTGTGTGTCAAACTCCTGAAGTGTTCAATTTCCTGCTCTTTTGGAGGTCCCAAGACAACTGGTAGTCAGGCTGGTAGGAGAAAAGGAGGTGAAATTAGCAGTGTTGCGTTCTAGGTGAGTTATGTTTCTAACTATAAATTATATATGACACTAGTATTTATGTCATATAGTAGTTGTAAAGGTAGAATGAAATAATACACTAAAAGCACTTTGCATGTAGTAAGTGTACAATAAATGATGACTATTACTGCTATTATTATTAGTGGTAGTAATAGTACATTGTAGCCACTTCTTAATCTAAAGAGTTAAAGGAATGACATGGCAATTTCAGATATGAGAAAAAATTAATGTGAGAAAACATTTAATATGTGACAGCTGTGATGATGATGACGACAATCATGACAAAAACAGGTAGGCCCTGAGAGATTAAAAGTTCTCTAACGTGTGACAACATAGGAGGTTTTAAGTCTTCGAGGAGTTAGATAAAATTTCCAAATTCACACAGCTAATAAATGGCAGAGAGAGAATTAAAACTTTCATTCTTCTAACGCTAGCATCTGCCCTCCTATCATTACATTTTTCTGCCATTCTTCCATGGAATGAAAATTCTCTTTTTTCTTAACCCATAGTGTTATGTATAGGTTCAAATGAGATTAGTACAAGATTCAAAGTCAGACTGCCTAGGCTCGATTTACCATAGATATGATTTGAGACATGTTAATTAACTTGCCTGAACCTATGTTTCTTCACCTGTTAAATGGAAGTAATCGTAGTACCTCACAGAGTCATCGTGAAAATTAAATAGGATGATGCATATAAAGCATTAGCACGTCTGGTATATAGCTAAGTGTTCAATAAATGTTAGCTATGATTATTTGTTACTCATTCTTAAGCAATTAATATTAAAATGTGAGAGAACTTTTTCCTGCATGGGGTCACCCTTTAAGGCCGGGGCCCTACTCTACAAAACTGACTTGAAGGTGTTTAGGTGGTTGCATTAAGGGTTGTAACTTATCCTCGGCACTTGGCATTGCCTTCCGGTCCTCCCTATGGGAAAGCCTGGATCCTGCTCTGTGCAGTTCGTGGCCCCTGGCTACCACCAGAGCCTGACCAACCAACCACAGGGTCCGCATGCACTTCCACGTCAGCATCACTGCCAGGCATTTTCTCCGTAAGCATCTTTGCGGCAATCGTTTTTGCGACATCACTAATTGGCCGTAAGGCAATTTTGTCGTAAAAGATACAGTAACTTTTCGTTGGGTGGGTTAATTTCTCTTTTGACAAGTCATCCTCTGTAAAAAAGATAAAGTAACCGGTTGAAAGTTTGGGTTTTTTGTTTGTTTGGTTGGTTGTTTGTTTGGATGAATTTCTTAGTTACTCCCATCTTTTTATTATATATAAATTTTACCTATCATAATGGTCTATACAGTTATGAGTAGACATGGTGCTGGTGGTCTTAAAATAGTTAACATTTCTTCCAGATGATGATGATTTGCCCCAAAGGATTAGTGGTTTCTTATTTTGAAACATTACAATGGGGAGAGAAAGAGTGGTGAGCAACCTCTGAGAGCGTAGAGTTGAACCCACATTTCCCACAGGAAAAAAAAAAAAAAAGCATTTAGGTACAATTCACAAAATAAAATCAGTTGTTTGCATAGTATTGCCATGATGCTACAGACGTTTTAAATGTATTCAAATATCTTGTATTTTGCAATAAAGTCAATTTTGTTATTCATTTTTCATGTTTCGTGATGTCCTTTTTAACGTTCTTTTACCTTCCTTTTACGGCAAAATTGCCTTATGGCCAATTATTTATGTGGCGAAAATGTTTGCGGGCGAAGAAGCTTACGGCAAAAGTACCTAGAACCATTAGCGTCATGTAAATGTAGCTGTGTAACATAAAGGAATGGGGTGGTGGTGATATTGCTTCTTTTTGTATTTTTCTCTGTGCCGAATCCTCTGCTGTCTCCACAGAGATGATCCTGTAAGTAAGCAGAGAAGAAAGCTGCAGGTTGTAGAAGTGCAGATGTGTTTAGGTGATGGAATCCTCCCCACTAACGTTGCAAATGAGCATTTACTTTATCTTTAGTGCCAGGAGCTGACCTGGCTGGGGTGAGTGATTCTAGTTTTCTCTGCCCATCAACACAAACAGAATCAACTGGGCAGGAGAGAAAAGTGTTTGGTATTCCCTAGGTGAATAATTCCCCAATTTAAACATTCAGATACTATTCTCTTATTCTTTGCCATATCCATGTAGCACTGTTATCATTATCTAATAATATTTATTAATTATCGAATAATTTCTTTAGCTATTTACTTCACTTATGTAGCATTTATTTGTATGTACTTTAATTATGTGTTACTTATTTAAAAAGAAATCTGTCTCCGGCTTGAGGAAAACAATGATAAAAATAGAGTGTCCCCAGAGAAAGGAACTTAAAGCAATATCATCCATTTTTTTAAGTAAGAGATCTCAAATGTATTTGTTAATAATTTTTAATTAACAAAATAAAACTTTAAATTTCCTTTTCTCTACTGCCATCCCCTTACCGTGCTTTATTTTTCTATAGTATTTATTATCTTCTAATATGAAAGGTCATATTAGAAGATAATAAATAAATAAAAAAAGATCATATTAGAAGATAATAAATTTTAAAAAGGTCATTCTTTTTCTTTTTTCTTTTTCTTTTTTAGGCGAGACAACCCTTGGTTGACCTCACAGATTGCAAGGACATTGTCAGCTTACAATCCCTTATTTTTTTATTTTTTACACCTACAGCACCTAGTCTTCCTCGGTGGTCTCCCATCCAAGTACTAACCAGGTCTGACCCTGCTTAGCTTCCGAGATCAGATGGGATCAGGCTTGTTCAGGGTAGCATGTTCGTAGACTAAAATTTATTTTTTAATTATATTTGACATGCAATGTTATGTTAGCTTCAGAGGTACTACGTAGTGATTAGATGTTTATATAATTTACAAAGTGACCACCCCGATAAGTCTAGTACCCATCTGACACCATACATGGTTATTACAATATTATTAAGTATATTCCCTATATTGTACTTTACATCTTCATGACTGTTTTGTAACTGTCAATTTGTATATCTTAATCCTCTCTCCCTTTTCACCCATCCCTCTACCCCGCCTCCCATCTGGCAACCATGAATTTGTTTCTGTTTTGTTTGTTCACTTATTTATTTATTTATTTTAAGATTCCATATATAAGTGAAATTATATGATATTTGTCTTTCTCTGTCTGACTTATTTCACTTAGCATAATGCCTTTGACATCCATCCGTGTTGCTACAAATTGAAAGATTTCATTCTTTTTTTTATGGCTGAATAATATTCACACGCATGTATATGTGTTTGTGTCATGTGCTTGGCTATTGTAAATTGTAGGGGTGCGTATGTCTTTTCAAAATAGTGTTTTGGATTTCTTCAGGTAAATACCCAGAGGTTGAATTGCTGAGTTATGTGTTAGTTTTATTTTTAATTTTTTGAGGACCTTCCATACTATTTTTCATAGTGGCTACACCAATTTATAGTCCCACCAACAGCACATCAGTGTTCTCTCCACATCCTCGCCAATACTTGTTGTTTGTTGATTTATTGATGCTAGCCATTCTGACAGGTGTGAGGTAATATCTCATTGTGGTTTTAATTTGCATTTCTCTGATCAATAGTGATGTTGAGCATCTTTTCATATGCCTTTTGGCTATCTGTATGTCCTCTTTGGAGAAATGTCTCTTCAAGTCCTCTGAAAGGTGTGGGAATTTTTGTTTGTTTGTTTATTTGTGAACAGTGCTGACACATATTAGATGTTCAATAAATATTTCTTGAATGAATAAATTAATAAATAATTATAATGTCAACAACCTCTGAATTGAATCATGACTATATAAGTTATAAGATTATTTGTCTAGTTATATATTTTTGATATTTCTCAAAACTGAAAAGAAATAATTATTTTATTGGTATATGTGCATATTAGTGTAACGTCTATCTAATCTGTATTTTAAAAATACATAGCTGTTAAAATGGAAATGTTTGTGCATGCATGTTCGGA